TTTACACCATCCAAGCTCTCTTTTTATGCCATTTTTGCCAAGTGGATGGTTGAACTGTTCCTGGCATTCTTTATTTTCCTTAACTCCCAGTATAACTTGACCTGAATGGAACTGTATTGGAGGGAGTGTTTCCTGGGGTTTGGAGGCACGTTTTTGAAGGATGGCTCACCCTGACCCTTGCCTGTCTGTTGCCCTTTCCTTGTTCTCCTCTCCCCTCCCCCTCCGCTTTCTGGTTACTATGTGGTAACTAGTCTCTGTGGACCTCTACTCTGTGATCCATTACAACTGTCCCAGTGTCTGCCACAGTGTGCCCATCTGAAAGGATCCAGCCTCTTCTGGACCGAAGCCTCTGAAACCGAAGTACGCCCTTCCATGCCACAGCTGTTCATATCAGGAATTCTGCTGCAGTGATGTGAAATCTAACACAGCCCCACAGCCTTGCCCTTTCTTTTCTCTTTCTGGGAAAAGCCTTTAACATCACACCTCACTAAAACCGTAAGCATCATCTGGGTTGACACATCTGGCAAGATTCCTGTAGTCTTTGCTCTTGTTATGTTTTATTTGTTGCAAATCTGAAGGCCCCCCCCCCCGGCTCATGTCTTATTACTTCCCCTGGGGCCTTGCCTTGCTTTCTGCTCTGCACTGCTGTAGGAAAGCCCCATAACTTGCCCATAATCACAGAGCTTGTAAGTGGCAGAGCCAGCCTTCAAACTCAAGCTCTGTAAGCTGCATGTTTACCCAATGTGCACACTGCCTCACCCTTGGTTACTGCCTTCTTCCTTTTTCCCTCATCTTCTAGTTTCCCGAAAAGATACTCTACCCTTGATTAAATTTGTATTGTTCACTTTTAAATCCTGTTCAATTTTCCATATAGCACATCTATTACCTGACATGATTTCCTCCAAGATCCCTTCTTCTAAATACTGTCTCTTGTGTACATTATCCTCAACCATTCTAGGGGATTTGAATTTATTGGTAGGACAGAAATAAGTGAGGAGAACTCACATTTACTATGTAATTGTTAGCTTTTGGAACCTTGGTATCTGACACAATCTAATTTCCTTCTTTCAGCTCTATGAAATAGGTGATATTCTTTTCCCATAGCTAAGATAAAATACTTGCAAAATAAATGTGCTAAAGTATTCACTGAAACAAGAGTTTAGCATAAACCAAAGAGACTTATTAGGAACCAACAATAAAAAACAAACACCAAATTTTTGAATAAACCAAGGCTCTGAGCAGATGCTTTACCAAAGAGTGACAAATAACTCATAAAAAATAATAGCATTGATTATTAGAAAACCACAGACACACCCTCCTCCAACATACTTGAATGATTCAAAGTGAAGCCTGACAACATTAAGTGTTGATAAATACATAAAATGATAGTACCTGTTGCCAGTGTGGATGAGAAATGATAAGGTCAGATGTGAACCTGCTTGGTTTCTAACATAGCTAAACACAAATCATCATATGACTCAGTAATCATGTATGTTCACACAAAGACTCACACTCAGACGCTCAGAACAGTTCTCATTAAAACTGCCAGAAGTTGGGAAAAGTCAATTCCTCAGTAGCTGGTGAATGGATAAATAAATGGTATTATCAAATCTTATGACCATTCAACAATAAAAAGGAATGAATTATAACACCTGCCACTATATGAATGATTGCAAAGATACTATGTTGAGTTGAAGCAGGTGTGCACAAAAGGTTCTGTGTGTCATACTTTGCTTTCTAGAGCTGTGATAAACAAGTGCAAGCCAGGAAGGAAATGCTTTACTTGATCTTACCTTTTCCCAGAGGGAAGTCGGACAGGAACTCAAGGCAGGGACTCAAGGCAGGGACTCAAGCAGAGACTACAGAACACTGCTTCCTGGCTTACTCAGTTTGCTTTTCTTATCCAACCTAGGACCACACAACCCCAGGGGTGGCACCACCCTTGGTGGCCTGAGTCCTCCCACATCAATCTTGAATCAAGAAAAGAAGTGCTCCATAGACTTCCCTATAGGAAATCTGATGGAGACATCTTCCCAATTAAGGTTTCCTCTTCTCAAAGGACACTGGTTTATGTCAAGCCGATGAAAACCAACCAGCACCACGCACACCATATATACATACATAACAGGGAAATTTGTACTGGCAAAACCATATTAATAAGAAGATATTTATGAGAAGCAGTTCAGTTGTACTCTAACCCAGTGCTGGGAGGAGATCGTCCAGTGTAGAAGGTAGGAGGAACCATGGGCAGTGATGAAAATGATATCATGATGGCCAGGGGCCTTTAAAGTTATGAAAATAACTGAGAGTTCATATGCAGCTAAATTTTATTATACATCAAGTATACTGCAACCAAACAAATAAATAGAAACAGAGAGGTGAGAACATCAGAAAATAATTAGCACCTTCAGACTTATATCAACCCTATTATTTCTTTCCTTCCAGTTCCTAGCCCACATTCCCCCTATAGTCTTTACCCTATACTGTGCAGCAGTTTCCTCTGAGATTGGAGCATTCCAGCATGCAAGGAAGCCCCTTAAATCAAAAGGTAAATGACTTAAGATAGCTACAGGAAGCCCCTGAAACCTATGAGATTCACTAGGTCCCTCCCTCCCATTGAATAAACAATAAAGACTGCTCAGAATCCTTCTCAGACAAGCCACGCTGCAAAGAAACTCTGAGACCAGACCAGCTACCTAGAATCAGCAGAAACCACCCAAGGGCCTTGAAAAGATCTTAGACAATGGAGTCGCTTGGAAAGCACAATCTCCAACCCCAACCCACTAAACTGCCTTCAGGCTGTGCAGTGTGCTCCACGTCCCCAGCTGTTATAAGCTGTCATCCATGCTGGAGTGGGTTTTGGTGATGCTGTCTTTGAGTCATTTCTGCTCCTCTAAGTAACCCATTATATTCCTTTGAGTAATCCCAATAAAATGCATTGGGTCACCAAGTTGGACTTCAGTGGTATCTATACTTAGGTCTGTCATGAGATCCCTATCTGGTGTGAGTAAATGTGTGTATTGTGTCTCCTAAGGAATTCATTGTAATGGTACACACACCTTGATCTTTTCATTCTTATTCCCATATGGAGTCCATGTTTCAAATAATTTCTCTCTTTTAATCCTAGAAACTGACTTAAGTGAACAGGATAGACTGTATGGAGTCATATGTCATGGAACGTCTCATGACTAGATAAGCACGGCTGTGTTTGAAAGAGCCAGAACATAGCTTTGCTATCATAATGTCAGCAGCAAGGAAGCACTAGCCAAAACAGAGATTGGGGCTCGGTCACTCAGCCCTCGAGGTTGGCATATTTGCTCCCTTGTCATTTCCACGGTCTGGATTTTCTTTTTCTACTTCACTGTCCTTAGTGTATATCCCTTCCTCATAAGCCACCTAAATGCATTTGGGGAGGTAAATGGAATACAAATAAAGGAAGTAAGATTGTAATAATAATGATGGTGCTTATGATAATTGTGCTAGTCCTATATATGGGAAGGGTTGTGGTAGTTTATACTCCATTTATAGTTCTTTTCCCAAAGCACAGAGGTAATTAGTATTTCCCAGTACCAGTGTGTAATGCTCTTGAAATTATAGGAAGAGAGAGAGAGAGAGAGGGAGAGAGAGAGAGGTATTCTCATTGGTTTTCTTACATATAAAATAAAGTTAAATTTATTTCTGCGCTTGGGAACGTAGCCTCGTTTGACCCCTTAACTTGAACACTTCCCTGCTCTTCTTCAGGGGCGGCAGGAGCGTGGTGCACAGGATATTTTCTGGTAGCCACTCCAGATCCTCTGGACGCCTCTCCTTTGGACTGCCTCACTGAGCATCTTTTTCTCTGGTTCTAAGAAGGCCCTGAAGGTTCTAATGAAGCCATGAGGGATGGAAAGAGAATGAAGTTAGGGATTTACCCCTCTGGCTCTCCTTATGCCCATCTACAAGCTAACTGAATTTCTCACTCAGAAGTCACTCTGCTATGGGTCCTTCTGTCCCAGCCCTGTACTGCAGTGGTTGGCTCTAGCTTGCACAGAGTGCTCCCTTCCATCTCCTCTGCAGGACTAGTGTGGTAGCGATGACCCCAAAGTGTCTTCTTCTCACTGGTTTGTTTCCTACAGACATGCTGTAGTGCATTGAATGATGGCCCCAAAGTGATATGTCCACATCTTAACCCCAGAGAGAACCAGTGACAATCATCTAATTTGGAAAAAAAAAAAAAAAAAAAAGATCTTTGCAGGGATGATTCAGTTAAGGACTTTGAAATGAAGAGATAATTCTTATCAGTCTGGGTGGGCCTTAACGCCAACAACGAGTGTCCCTGTAAGAAAAAGGTTAAAGATCTGATGTGATGGAAGAGAAGATGTGGGCAGGGCAGAAGGTCATGTGAAGTAAGAGACTGCAGAGACATGCTCAGGAGCCAGGGATGTCTAGGGATGCCAACAGTTACTAGGAAGAGACCAGGCAAGGATTTCCCCTTGAGCCCCAGGGCTAGCACAGTCCTATTGATGCTTTGAGCCTCAGCTTCTGGCCTTCGAGCAAGGAGAAGATCCATTCCTCTTGTTGTAAGCTATCAGTTTTGTGGTGATTTGCAATAGCTGTCTTGAAAACCATATACACCTGCCCATACCTTTCTCTAGACACAGACCCTCTTAAAGCTTTTACCAACTGCATTTGCGGCTCCACCGTTCTCCTGACAAGATCAGCTTGATGTGTCTGGCAATGAGTATCTTATCACTGCAACTCTAAACTCTCACGGTGTCCTAGTAACATAAAATGAAAGTTGGTATGTATAGCACTTGTTCTTATTAAATAGCCTTTAACTTTATATACGTTAATAACTTCCTTCTCAGCGTGCATTAGGTCCAAATGAATAAGATAAGGTGCAACCCGATCATGGGGGAATCATGAGGATATCGCCATAGTAAAGAATTACCATTTTAAAAAAAATGTTCCATGAAAGTTATTGCACAGTGGGGGTTGATATTTTAAAATAAAACTGTCAATTTCATGAATAATAATTTTTATTGCTAATTTCCACAGCAACGGTTCTCATAAAGAATACAATCACTAGGTGGCCTTTTAAAACAATCATCACTAGAGGGGTCCTAACAAGACAGTAACATGACTATTGCTTATTTTCAGAAAGAGCCAGGGCACAGTGGAGAGGAGAGCATTAAAACTAATCATGGGCCGGGCGGTGGTGATGCATGCCTTTAATCCCAGCATTCTGGAAGCAGAGATAGGTGGATCTCTGTGAGTTCAAGGCCAGCCTGGTCTACAGAGCGAGATCCAGGACAGGCACCAAAACTACACAGAGAAACCCTGTCTTGAAAAACAAAAACAAAACAAAAGACAATCATGGGCGGGCGCAGAAGGCAGGAGAAGCAGCAGAAAACAGGGGGTGCCTTGAGGAGAGCCCGGAGAGTGGTTTCAGGATACTGACAGCATGGTGTTTAAAGAAGAGCTACAGAGTTCGGAGCAGTAAGTGCTAATAAAAGGGCACAGGCCTGGGGACTTTCAGGAGAGTGCCTGGGACACAAGCCAGCTCAAGAGGGTCTGCTGACCACTGATAAGGGTCTAGGGTGCTGGGTCAACTTCCTAACACACAAACACCGCCTTTTTCAGAGCAGTGCTTTTGGTGCTGGCTCTGCAGTTTAACTCCTGGGAGCTTTGAAACGTTGCCAGCCCAGGAAGGGCCATCCCAGACCAAGCAGGTCGGGGTTTGAAGGAATGGGAAGTCCAGGCAAAAGCGATGTTCAAATGTTCCTAGTTTTTTTCTAATGCATATCCACAACCAAGAGTAACTGTGCAGGAGTCCACAGCTCAGCCTAGGCCCAAATCTAACACACTCACAGTTTTTACAAAGAGCTTCTTGGGAAACAGCTGCATCCATTCACCAACCAGGATGCTGTCAGTGGCTACTCTCAAGCTACAGCGGAGGGGCTGAGTCCATGTGGAAGACCATGTGACCTACAAAGATGAAAACAGTCAGTCTCTGGCCCTTTCTAGACTTAGTTCCCCAACTCTTCACAGAGACAGTCGCTCGAATTTAGTTTCACTGCTTTCAACATATTTTATGGAATACGTCTTTGTATTTGGAAGCTGCCTTGTATGTTTAAAGACCCTTACTTAATTGCATCCTTGACCTTTGCACTATATGCTGGTAGCACCCCTTCACACCCAGCTTTGATAATGAAATTGCCAAACATTGCATGGTATACAAATGACCACAGTAGAGAAACATTGTACAATACTGGATAAATGGTCAGGCATGTCTTGTTGTTCATGGTAGACAGTTCTAGAAAGTCACTGTACACAGATTAGTGAACACTAAGCCATGGCTCCTTAGGGAAATACTGTGTCAGGACAGCCCTCATCCTCACACTTTCCTTAATGGATCAGTTCTTATTATTTAAAGATACTGTATTTGACATGTATCCCTTTAAAACAATTAGATCCCGCATTTCTTTATAACAACATATTAGTCTGGAAGAGATTAACATTTTCCTGATGTCGCCAAACGTGACTGTGAATTTCTCTGATTGCCAGCCTCACGGCTTCTTATCCCTGAGTGCACACATCCAGCCACTTTCCGTGGCTTCAGTGCTCACCAGGGATGTCACTTGAGCCCCTCTTAGCACAGTTTTATGTGCAGATTGGTGGATTCCCTCTTCATTTTTCCAAAAATGTAACAACACTGATTCATTAACACTGCTTGGATGAAGTTTGTTGCTTGTGGATTTTCTCCACACCACACAACACAGTTTTCTTGTCACTAGGAACTCTAGACAGCCTTTTAGCACTACACTTGGGGTCACTTTGAACATTAATGTCACCAGTTAAAAGCACAAACCTGAAAAAAATATGAAAGAAAGAAGATTTTTAAAAAGGTAATAAATAGCCTGCAAATCGGCAGCATCGGCAGTATGAAGCAAGCAGGCAGAGCCCTGCTTTGTCGACTGAGACTATTAGTGACAGGGACTCGAGTTCCTCAGCACTCTTCAGGTGTTTGCAAATGATGCAAACGTGCCACAAGCGTTACTTTTGGAACAACAGAGAAACTTTGAGTAGATTACCTGGTGTGAAGATGTAGGAGTCTAACACTAAGCTGTCAGAGTTTATGTATCAAGTTCTCCTACATAGGATATTTGGTGAATGGTTATGTAATAGATTAACAAATAATGAAAGCAAGTGTTCAAATCTGTTATGGTCCTTTAAAAATAACAGTTGTTAGGTGTAACATGGAGAACAGGAAGATGTTTTCAGAGTCTTAATGATTTTTTAAGAGATCTTATGATTTTTACTTTCTGGGTATGGTAGCCTGTGTGTGTGTTGATACACCACAGATTGAGAACCGCTGGTTGAGAAAATGGCGAGCCATTACCCATCCTAATCTATACAGGTCTGACCAGACCAGGCTAGCTCTTTGCACCTCAAGAAGAATAAGAACAGCTTCCGACACTCTTCATGACAGGCAACTGAAGCTGACATGGGAACTTGGATCAGTAAAGGGTAAATTCCTCTTGTCCACATGTCCCCCAAGACTATCTGTACTACCTGGAATACAGATATTATTTGAAGGTTTCTTATTCTCCTGACAATTACCTTCGAACACCACAGTTTTCACTAATGTCTGAGATCATGGTAGTAACCACAGAGTCAAGATCTAGCCTCTTAAAATTATCATAGCTAGTATAGGGTGCATTGTGACTCCTCTAAGTGATTTTTACATATAAATGGATTTAACAGCTTATGAGTAGGAATGGCTGCCATCCCCCTTACCTTGTAGTGAGGAAACTGAGACACAACAGAGGTTATGTAGCTTTGCCCTGTGACCAACCAGCAGCTCAGTGCAGACTCAGTAATAACAGCAAAAAGGCACCGCTTGAGGGATAAGTCTTCTAATTAGCACAATTGTGGCAATCATTTCACAAGGAAGATAGATCAAAAGTCACATATCACACCTAAGGTGCATGTCACTGTCATTTGCCTATTGCACCTCAATAAAGCCAGAAAAATTAAGTAACTAGTTAAGCACAGAGCCAGTGTAAGGAAGTCTGACTCCAGAGTCGAACCCACCAAAAGCGAGTGGACATACAATGTCAAGAGGCTGTGCTATAATTTCATGTGATCAGCAAATTCATCATTTGTTAAATTTCCCGAGTCTGCAGACCTATTAACCACTTAGTAGTATTTGTAGATCATCTGGCTCCTGGGCACTCATAAAATACAAGATTTCATTGCCCTTGGGGAGTTTGTAGATATTTTACCAGAGCCTAATGGGAAAGATTTACTATTTTCCATGTTGTCTTTGTTTTTTATTGCGCCACCTGACTCGGGTTCTTACCCTCCTTTGCTCTGTCTCACTAACGCTATCTCTCAAAAATTTGTTAGAACATGCAACCTCAGGTCTGACGGCTGCAGGATTTTATAAGTCATGGGACTGGATCAAGAGAACGTGAAGCGGTGCCTACTGCTTCCATAAGAACGAGGATATCATTCTGGAAAGCTCACAAGGCACTGCAGCATGAATGGAGAAACCAATTGTTCTGACGAAGACATACTTTATTACACAGAAACAGATGATCTCAGAGCAGGGAGAGCTGCCGGCTGCAGCTGCCAGAAGAGCCCAGAAAACAGATTCTGTTTTGCTCACAACAAAATTAATCATGTGCAGAATGGTTCGATCGCATCGACATTTCTTATCTAGTACCTGTGGCTGCCTATCAGTTTCGGTACAGAAACAAGCAGACAGGAAGGCAGGAATGAAGGGGATGGCTATATTTTTGTCCACAGTCTGTAAGATAGAAATTTGATGAGAAAAAGAAATGAGGAAACCAGGCCTATCGGAACGTTGATGCTAGAGGAAAGGAGTATGTTTTGTAGGTTGATTTCTTAAGTGAACTAGTCTAAATGAAAGCAAATGCCAGGTGCTATGAAAGGCATGCCTGATGAGAGCCTCACCAGAGACACACTTGAACTGTGGCCTGGGCAGCAGAGGACAGAGGCTGATGACAGTGAGGGACACTCATCAGGTGTGGATTAAATCACCACTTCTGATCCCTTTAAACCTCCTCCTCTAATTTTCAGCTTTCTGATGATCATCTATCTACCTGTATGTCTATTATCTGTCTATCTATCTATCTATCTATCTATCTATCTATCTATCTATCTATCTATCTATCTATCCATCCATCCATCCATCCATCCATCCATCCATCCA